AGCACGGTTTTTTTTCCCGACCGAGATGCGACCATTTTGTCGCATCTGGATCGTACAATAAGTGGTACAATGGCTACAACAAGTCGTACAACGGGAAAAAGTTCGAGTCGCAAGCCGTTGTCTGTTTGGCACCAATTGTGAAAGAGGCTTGAGGAATGATAAAGCGTTAGCCATGTAATAGACCATCAGTTTCTCCAATGTGATATGATACAATTGTTCGTAATTACAATGGCAGACATGTTCATTACGACTGACACGATACTATGCTCAAACAGTGTGCTATATAATTGATACGTTGACTTTAAAGGGTACAGTAATCTGTTACATACTAGTATGTATTGCACATATTCATTTGATGATCGGTCCCCAAGTTAAATTACATGTTCTTATTTATTTGGTTTAAACAATTCATGACATCACTGTTCTGTATTTCTCCTTACAGATATTGACTTCGTTAAGTCTCATTGCAACTATTGTGACATGGTACAGCAGATTCTCGCCAAACCCACTGCCTCTTAATGTATCACATGGTATTAGATAGTACACCACACAGCCGGCACCAAGTACGCCATCAACGTACCAACCAGCAAATAATATTGTTTTTATAAAAACGCATAAGACAGGGAGTATTTCACTTCATTACATCTGCTGTCGCTATGGATATGCAAATGACTCTCATTAGTGTTTTCCACGCGTAACACAAAGAACGGAATTTACGGCGGAAGATGCATATCAATGAGTCAGTAATACTATCACCGATTGGTGGCGCTGTTAGTTCATCTTTCGATTACAATATCCTTACTGGTCATGTGTTGTACATGCGTGAAGGACAGCCCTATTTATAGTACTATTTTAAGGAAACCAGCCACACAATTAGAGTCACATATGAACTACACATTTCGACACTATATATAGGTGGCCAGATGCAGATTATCTTTTTTACAATTATTTTAACAGTACATTATGGGAAAAAACGACAATTTGGACCAAGTTTTGTGAAGTCGAATTGGCACACTTTCAGGTTCTTTTGAAGTACAACCAATGAATAGCAAGTAGCTCTAAAAGGAGTATTTGACACGACTTGTCTATAAAAGTAAAATAATACACAGCTTTGGCAACAGTTGACATACAATTGTATCGCCGTATCTTCGTCAGTCAAGACCCCACAATATTCGCAAAAAAGTTCAACAGAGACGAGCAAATCTAATTTCGGAATTTTTGACTATTTTGCGACCATTGTTTATTTATTTTTTCGATGTTTGTTGATTATATTTTTGTTCTAAACAATTCGTCATTTTTTAGCCTGTTTTAGCTGTGATCTTGCTTTGAACATTTTTGTTTTTAGATGGTAATCATAATTTATTTAATTAACTCCCTTGTTATTCTATGTACTATGTCGAATTATGCATGTATTTGAGAGAAGTTTGCGAAAGTTTCAATACAACTGTAAATTTGGTGTCTGCTGTCACAACTCGATACGGTCAAACTCACGCGTCTAGAGGTCGCTATCGCCGACCAGAACGACTGGCAGAGTTCAAACAGAGATTAAAATGGTGGTTTGCAGTACTTACACGTTAAGGTTTTGGTAAGCATTGCTCTCATGTTTTATGATGTAGAGATTAAACACTCTGTCCCATTTCTACCAATTTGAACAGGGAGTAGTATGTGTATCTCTTGAACATATTGTTGCAAGCATTTCGTGATGGTCTTGCATGGAGAAAATTATATTAGGTGATTATTATCACACATACTCTCAACAACTGTGCTATTACGCAGTGAATACTTTAATTTAGTCTAACGTTTATTAATTGTTATAATGTTATGGGGCATGTATTTACAGCTATCTGAGGGTATGTGTTTGAATTGTAGAGTACGTTGAGGCCATGCTTAAACCATTGAAGTCAACTCTGGCTGTACCACGAATGTATTTGTCAAAGTTGAGAGTGGAACAATATAAACATTGACACTGTGTCACAAAAACAAGCTTCGAGCTAATAAAAAGATAATATCTTTTTCGATATAGTGTTGCCTTAACGGCATAATATTTTTTGGGAAAGAGTTCTTTATGCCATAAACAATTAAAACATCTCACTAATGACAAATGGCACAGTTTCTTGATTGTGTTTCTTAAATTTAATTGACATTTATTATTTTTTCAAATGAAAAAGCAAATTCTAGTGCGTTTTAGAACCCCTAATTTCCTACTGATTCCTACATTTCCTACCATTAGTACATTTCTCTTGCAGATCGATCAGCAGCATTAGAGGATGAAGTATTAAAATACTGCAAAGTCAATCAAAAACAATTATTATGATATTATTATAAATTAAAAGCAACAGTGGCAAATCAAAGAAAGTTTAGAATGAGACCCCATGAGCTTAAACGTAATGGTGGAATACAAATTATAATTGCCCACTGGAAGCCTTCAAAGATAAAATCTGAATAATGCCACAGCTTCTATATGATGACCAGTTCTAGATATACCTGTGAAACAGCCCAAAAAGTACTAATTATTA